ATGCCAGAGGTAATTAAAAAAGAAATACCATATCAGTTTTCATAACATCAATTCATCAAATTATTTACCTATGGGGTTTCAGCCTGATCATCTTAGCTGATGATTTGGAATGGACTGTCATGTCCCACATTGTTACCAGAGGAAGAACCTTGTCTAAAGTATACTCTGTGGGCCATTCTAGTCTCTGGAGGGTAAATGACTGAAAGAAAACCAGAAACTGTGCAAGTTTTGGTAATAATGGCAGTGCAAGGTAATATGTCATACAGATCTTTGATATTGCCTGCTATAATTGACCCTTGTTTTCTCTCACTAACTGAAGTTCAAAAAATGCATTTAAGTACATTGAAAAAGCACAGTTAAAATATTTTCTCCCACCTGCAATGTTTGAATCTGAGGTCGCTTCCAGTCAAATTTTACAGTAGGTACTCTATCCCGTGTATTCAGGAACTCAGAAATTACCTGTAGAAATCACAAAGAATGTTTCTAAAATATTCTGATCTTGATCAAATTAAAAAGCCATTAATTTTTACATGTTAAAAATCCAAATCAAATTGATGCCTTTTATCTACATACTTGCTTACAAGCCCCAGATATAGATGCTCAACTGCACTAGTTGACAGGCAGATTATTATCTTTTTAAAGTGTGAACCTTACAGACTGATACAAACTGAAACATAAATTGCTTTAAAATTGACATAGGTCAATATGGATATCATATGTCTACAAAGATGTTATAAAATAATATGCATGTATGGGTTTTCACTCGATTCACATAAACAGACACACACTCTGACACACATGCACACCAACACAAATACACAAAAGTCAAAATTGTCAACATTGTCAGACTTCAGCTTACCTTTTCATTAGGAAAGTCCTTTAATTGCTGACTTTTTTTATACACAGGAATTTCCATGGCATCCAAATGCATCTGGCTACAGTGCTGCCATTGTCTGAACCTATGAAAAATAACAAACATTCTCATCTTATATTGGAATATGAAGCACATTAATACTTTCAAAGTCCACAGATGGTTTTCAATTGCAATACAGTTTAAACAGCAATAATTATACGGGAAGCTTTGCTTTTTTCCAATTACTGTATTGTCTTCAAATAATCAAGTAACTTTTTAAAATAGTAGTGAAAGCTGATAAATTGGGCATATACATGGCAACTTTGTATTGTTTTCTCTCCAGATTGTGAAAACACTTGTACCTGTTTAACACATTGCATGACCCCAGGGTATGCATCAGTTTTATAGCCATCTCCTTGCCCACCCCAGGAATGCCTTTAGGTAGGTAGTCACATCCTAGGAGCAGGGCAAGTCCCACTAAGCTTTGCCTGTTCAACCCAAGCTGGGACTCAATGGAGACTGAGGTGAACATCTCAACATGAGGGTCCTAAAAAGTGTAAATAATTGTTGTTTATATTGATCAACAAATTGGAACACTGGATTCTTTAGGTTTTCAAGAAAATGAAAAGGAACATATTCCTGCAACATGTGAACATCAATTTGGAACTTGATACTTAATACTTTTTCACTGAATAAATAAATAATCTTATCACATCCTATTTCAAATATAACTGTTCACCAATTTTCTAAGCAACTCTTGTTTATCTATCCCTTACCTTGCTGTTCATAGTAAAGTTCCTGTAAACTGTCTTTGCTCCATACAAAAAGGCATCACCATCATCTGTTAAGCAGCCATCTACTAACTTTTGAAAACAGTTTTGTCTCACATTTGTGATGCCCCAGTAAAAATATGGGATGCAATTTCAAATTGAAAAGAGACACATTAATCTCAACACAAAAATAGTTAAATGTATAATAAATATAACACCAAATGAACTACTCAAGCATCTATTCATTAAAAATTTTTGAAGAACTTTGACAAAACTAATATGTGTGCTTTTCAAGGAAAAAAAATGCAGTCAGTTGTTTATGTGGACTAATGCCCATGTTTTACTAAACAATACAGGATCTTCACCCACTCAACCACAATTACTTACTCCTTCTTTGTTGAGTAAAGCACACATAGCCTCAGCCTCCCCTTCACTTTGTACAAAAGGCACTCCAAGACACTTCAACAGTTCACAACACTGAAAAATATAATCACGATTTTACAGTAAAAAAATTTCAATCATAATAACAAGTATGTCCAAAAGTATTTGATATAAAAAACAATAATACTGATTTAAATATCAAATATTTTAAGGTCAATGCAATATCAAAGAAATGTTTGGGCAAAATTAATAAAATTGCATGATCACATCATGCCCCCTTTATAAATGAAAAAATGTAACAAACTAACAATAAATAAAAGAAAAGCAATAAAAACATCTATAACACATTTAAGACTGTTCTTGTCATAATTATATATAGTAGAAATAGGAATTATAAAATACATACCTCCCTGAGCCAAGCCTTGAAGTGTGACCTTCCAGGTTTTCTCCCTTTGCTCACTTTCCCTTCTCCTCGGCTTCTTCCTCGCCCCCTGGATACAGATCCACCAAAACGGGATTGTTGTCTATGCAACATGGTATCCCACTTCAGCTCTGGTGGCTCCCCCTCTACCACAAACACAGGCAGGACACCCAACTGCAGCAAGTGACAAGTGCGGAAGAAAAGGTTTCTGCAAAAGTTAAAAAAATTTAATATACTTTGACATTTTAAATACATTATCCAGCAAAACAGACTTATGAGCCCTGCTAAAAGCAAATTGCTGCACCATCTGCAGCTGTAATTTATAGTGTGCGGAGGACGGACACACTATTAGACAAGTGGCTTTTAAAAAACACATTCTGATGCCAACTGTGCATAAATTTGGTGACATGACTTGGCAGTGTCTTCAAATTTATGGACATTTTTATTTCTATGGAAAGCACAATGACAGATAAGGTACCTGGAATTGTTAGCACTATCTAAAACAATCTACAGCTGTCATGTGATTATTGTAATTAAAAATACATGAGATTGGAGGTGAGACAAACTTTTTGATCAACAGCACTGTTTTACAGTGCATATGATA